TCATCATTATCGTTACCATCATTATCTTTATAATTACTATCATTATTATGATGATCATAATCATTACTGTCACTGTTATTAATGTTATAATTATTATCATTATTACTGCTATTCCTGCTGCTACTGTTTCTACTACTACTGCTATTATCATCATCATTATTGTTATCATTACTCTCATCATTATCATTAATACCATTATGATCACCGTCATTAATGGTACTTCCAACAGTGTAATTACCTATACCATTACTATCCTCCTCATAATGCAATAATTACAAAGTTACAAATATTCTTGGTTTTCCTCTCAGCAGGTCGGAAAATTCGCGTCACAGATCTCAGGAAATGAGAAAAGTTAATTGTATTTTTATCTTATGACTTCGAAATTTGGGGTAATTGGCATCTCAGGCTGATCATTATACAATAGGGTTGTAACGGTTGTATTTTGGAGTCGCATACAGACACACACACACACACGCACACTCATATACGTACTTATATTAACAGTTGTACGCACACTTACATACGCATTTATATTGACTGTCACACGCACACTCATATACGTACTTATATGAACAGTTACACGCACACTTATATACGCATTTATATTGACAGTCACACGCACACTCATATACGTACTTATATTAACAGTTACACCCACACTTACATACGCATTTATATTGACAGTCACACGCACACTCATATCAGTAGTCAGACACATACACATATATGCACACACGCATATGTATGCACGCACGCCGCAGGCATATATATACAGACACTCGCACTCACACACACATACACAGACCGATACATTTTTGCATGCACACACACACACACACACACACACACACACACACACACACACACACACACACACACACACACACACACGCAAACACACACACACACATACACATACACACATACACATACACACACACACACACACAAACATCCAAACACATACACACACACACATCCAAACACGTTCCCAAACATAAACAAACCTAGGTGCTCGCATCACCCCCCCACCACCCTTACCCCTCCACCCCCCCCAACATCCGGGACCCTTTGAAGCTTTCCCCTCTACCACCACCACAACCCCCCACCACCACCCCAAAAAAAAAGAGGGGGAGAGGGGGGGAAGGGGGGAGGGGGGAGAACCTGAGCGACGAGAGAGCAAGTCAAATCTGAATTTTTGAAAGTCCGGTCCCGTTGAAGTTCTTTATGAAGGACCCCGGCACCACTCTGCCTCAGGTGCGCCGGGGAAGAATGTAAACTATGCGCGTGTTGACACTGAGGGAGCCCGGGATATCCTGGAATAATATTAAGTCTTTCGGGGGGTGGGGGTGGGGTGGGAGGTAGGGGAAGGGGGGTGGGGGAGAGGAGAGGAGGGGGATGGGGGAGAGAGAGAAAGAGAACGGGAGAGGGCGAACGGAAGGAGAGGAGGATGGGTGTGGGGGTAAAAACGGAAGGAGAGGAGGAGGGAGAGGGGAGAAAAGAGAGAGAGAGAGAGAGAGAGAGAGAGAGAGAGAGAGAGAGAGAGAGAGAGAGAGAGAGAGAGAGAGAGAGAGAGAGAGAGAGAGAGAGGGGAAGAGGAACGGGGGGTGGTAAGGCTAAAGAGGGGGGGGACCTTTATTGACATTCTTGTGAAGGGGGAGAGGGTGGGGGGTTGGGGGAGTTGAGGGGCAGGAGTCAAAGCGGGGTGGGGGGGGAGGGGGGGACTTAATTTTGTGAATATTAATCCCAACTTGGAAGACTATTGTTTACCCGGACCAAAGGTGATGGATGGCGCAGAATGATGAAAAAGCAGGCAGCAACGCACAGATAATTCACTACACATACTGTTTGTGTGCACGCGAGAAATTTCCTGGCATAAGGTATATATCTTTCACACAAAAAAAAGACATACACAGATACATATAAATATAACACAATGTTTTGTAATAACCTTTGATAATGCATTTTTAAAAGCTTAAAGATGAAAGAAAAAATGTATATAAAAAATCATGTTCATAATATCGAATGCAAACAAATACGAGTACCTTTTAGTCCCAAAAGGTTCTAATAGCTGATATCTGCAGAAAGAAAGAAAAAGATAGATAGATAGATAGAGAGAGAGAGAGAAACAGACAGACAGACAGACAGAGAAAGAGAGAGAGAGAGAGAGAGAGAGAGAGAGAGAGAGAGAGAGAGAGAGAGAGAGAGAGAGAGAGAGAGAGAGAGAGAGAGAGAGAGAGAGAGAGAGAGAGAGAGAGAGAGAGAGAGAGAGAGAGAGAGAGAGAGAGAGAGAGAGACAGACAGACAGACAGACAGAGACAGAGAGAGACCGACAGACATACAGAAAGATAGAGACAGACAGATAGAGACAGACAGATAGAGACAGACAAACAGAGAGAAACAGTAAAACAAAAAGAATGAAAGTAACAGAGACAAGAACATAAAAAAACAAAAGCTTTAGACAAAGCCAAAGAGGGAATATTTAGAGACCGATATAGAG